GCCTCTTTTGACGAGAATCAATTTTTTCTTTCGTATGAGGAAAAGAAGAAAAAAATAAAGAGAAGTAATAAAAAAAAAAGAAAAAAAAGGAAAAAGGAAAATAAAATGAAAAACAAAATTCTTTAAATCTACGTATGTAGATTTTCTGCATTTTTCGAGTCGAACTGAAACTGCAACGTTGTGCAATCCAGCACGTTCCTTTGGAATAAGGCAAACGACACGAATATATGTATCGTGCATGCGTGTTATGTAGATTATGAACGGGAAAAAGAAACATGTAAATTAGGCGAGGAAAGGCGAGGAAAAACGGTGCTCTTGCGTGCGTGCCTGGCGATCTCAAAATTCTCGCGGATATTCATTCGTGGAATAATTAAAAAGTGATTAACACGATTGCGTGAAGAATTCGGATAAACTAGGCTCATTGACATGGATATATCTTAATCGAGGATAATTATTATTTGAAAAAATAGAGAGAGAGAGAGAGAGAGAGAGGTAGTCGCAAATAATACTAATGCTGAATTCTAAATCCGAGAAGCATTAGCGGTAGTTTGCGTTACGTCATGAATCGAGGTTAAACGCGCACGCGACTTGTGTATACGGGAGGGCGGCATGGTCATCGACGCATCAGGTGTCAGTCACCTCTTTCTCGTGAGCTTTCTGTGTTTGGTGCGTGGATGTGTGCGTGCACGCGTCTACGTGTGTGTTGCGTGAGATGCATGAGCGTGCATGAATGTGTACGTGCGTGCGACATTAATAGAAAAGAGAGGGAAAGAGTATCGTGTTGTCTCCACACGTGTGCGCAAGCACGTCTTTGCGCGCGCTCGCTCGCTAAATCAAGGAACGGTCGAAGAGTATAAGAAGAGGAATAGAAGAAGAAAAAAATATAGAGACTGCTGTCATCGCCTAACTTGGAAGAAGGCAAGCCGTTCACTTACTCGTTTTTCCACGACGAAGATGCTCCTTCCGTCGTCGCGCCTATTCACTCCTAGCCTTTCACTCCTTTTTCCCTCTTCTTCTTTGTCGATCTTCCCTTTTTTCCACCTCCTTCTCCTCCACCTACTCCGCCATCTCCTCCCTCTCGTTATTATCGTTCTTCTTTTTCTTCCGACGAGAATCAGATTCACTCACTCACTCACTCACTCACTCACTCACTCACTCACTCACTCACTCACTCACTCACGCATGCATGCATGCACGCACGCACGCACGCGCGCGCGCGCACGTACACACCGCAAACACGCAATACACACACGCACGAGTGAGCGAGCGAGCACTCACGCCCAGTAATAAAAAGAAACCCGTTGTATGTGAATAGAACAGAGTGAATAGTAACTAATTGTAATCTTTTTTATATCTGACAAAGCTCCTTTTCACTTATCAAAGTAGCGTCAAGCCAAGTACGCCGACGACTGCACACTACCGAACACAGCGAGATCTAACACGAGCAAAACTCTAGCGCACGATTCATGCGGATCAGCTGCTCTCTCGATTCTAGCGCCGTACGTACTTGTGCTCTTTTTATCAATCAACGCGACACCTGTGCCATCTATTACGATACAACAAGGTGCATTTTTAAAGCTAAATTTAAATCTTTTTTGACATGGGACATCAAACATTTTGTATTATTTTTCCACTTTTACTTCCAAGAACCAAGCTCGTAATTATTTAATAATACGATTGATTTTGACCCGTGTCCGACGTAAAAAAAACGTTGTAAAACACTTTTATATAGTGCCTCGCGTTAGTTTTAAGCGAATAGCAACGTGGCAGCACGATGATTACAACAGAGGCGTAATCGATTTAAACGAAATGACATTTAAATCTTGGCGCTTATAATAACATCCACGAGGTGTCGATAGTAACGTTTGATATCGTGTTCTCATTGGCCTATTTAGTTCAGCCAATAAAACGACATATTATAGCTATGAATGAAAATTCATCGTACATCTGACCAATTGAATGGAACTACGTTACTCAGGATTCGTAGTACTACACGCGAAGCTATGATTGGTTCTTCGTTCATTGTAGTTTACCACTCTATTTGTAACGATAGTATGTATCGAATGAAAGAGGGTCATTCGGTTGTCATTCTGAGATGACACCACTGTCGTCGAGATTATAGTAACTTTAATTCCTACTAGGTCGGATGAATGCATAACCTTACTTTTATAGAAGAAAATATTTTCAAATAGATTTCATTATATTTTGACAAGTTGTCGCTATAATTATGAGACTCGGCACATTTTTATTGCGGAAAGAAATACCTTATCGATTCAGAGGGTGAGTTGCATTATTTTTACTTATTATTATGGATTGATGTTCATAACGAAAAATATTTTACTTTGATGCATTTATTGTTTATTGTTTGTTTATTACAGGAAATATCGTAAAATAAAGAATCCCACGTTTGAAGATTTACTAAAATTAAGGCATGACTTTGAAAGAGAAGAAAAGAATATGTTGATTTTAAGACATCCCTATTTAACGAGTCAACAATCTGCTGGTCACATGAGTCATAAAGAAAGGCCAACTTTGGGTCAAATATATGGGAAATTAAAAGACGAAAAGTTTTCTAAATGCATAACCATTGAGGACAGATTAAGTCATTTAAAAGTATTAGAACCTTGGGATTGAAGCGTATATTTGTTTATAAAATGCATTAAATCCTTTATATATCATAGTATTGTATAATTATTAAATATCTTATATGATTTAAAATCTGTATGTGAAACTGTATACCTTTATATGTATAAGTTGAAATATTTCAAATACTGATTTAAATCTATGTAAGTTTAAGAATTGCCCCAAACGTTAATATATATTCGCAGATAATAGAGTCTAAATATTGAACAACGTTTGAAATTTTTATTTTTTCTCTTTTCGAATGAGACTTTCTAGTTGAATCTAAGTTGCATCTCTTCTATGGTTATTCATTTATATATACATATATATATATAGTTATATAACCTTTATTTCTGTTTTGGTAAAAGATACGTAGAGTTGATTTAACGTCATGATCAGTTTTATACTTACTGTAGTGATTCTTGTATTTATCTATACGATATTGACGAAAAGGTACTCGGAGCTTTAAAAAAGGCTTACGATAAAAAAAAATTCATAAATTTTAATATAATTAATATCACATAGAACTATTTTAATTTCGAGAGCCATTTTTCCTCGTCTAGTGAAAGAGAATAATGTCATGAGTAGGTCTTACATCTTAAGCTTCTATTCTATGTTCCAGTAAACTGAAAATTTTCACTAATTTGGATTTTAATCAGCTTGTGTCAACGTAAATATCGTTTAATCGTACTTTTACATATTTCTTTTTATTTACGTGAATAATATGTGTTTATTTTATGGACAAGTCAAATTATATAAGTTTCCTTCATTCGATAAAAATTCATTTATTTTACGTTTTTATGAATAACATTTGTGGAAGATATATATTATTTAGTTAATTTGAATTATTAAGGCCATTGTCGTACTCGTTTGTTTATTTTTTCTCTTTATTTTTTCACACGTGCTATTTGTATAGGTTAGGGAAACAAGATAGTTACTTATTCAAAGGTATTTATATTAAATAATTAATTGTATTAATTAATGATGATTCAAGGAAAGATCAGAATCAAAATATGGAAGATCAACATACGTTATGTAAAAGGGACAAATTTAAGGAGAGAAGACTAGAAGAAAATGCAGCTTACATAAAACCGATTACTAAACGTTCTGAATCTGGTTGTAATTGGGAGACATATAAGGATGTAGTATATAAGGAAGAATCAAGTTATGACAAAAAGAAAAATAACCCAGCAAAAAAATTTTCAAATAAATATCTAAAATCCAAAAAATTAAATAATGTTCCACTGCTTGAAACGGTATTATAAATTTGTATAAAATTATTAACTTCATTGTTAACTTGAAAAATAATTTAATTTTCGTTTTCTTTTTTTTTTTTTTTTAGGGCAATACAATGAATCAGGATAGGAAATTCAATCATACTATGGATGAGAATAAGACAAAAATAACGAAATTGGTCGCTATGGATTGCGAAATGGTTGGAATTGGTGATGGGAGTGAAAGTATGATTGCCAGGGTATCTATCGTAAATAAATTTGGTTATTGCCTTTATGATAAATATGTTAAGCCGAGAGAAAAAGTGCAAGACTATAGAACAGCTGTTAGTGGTATTTATCCACATCATTTAAAAAATGGAGAAGAATTTTTTATTGTACAAAAAGAAGTAGCAGATATATTAAGAGGACGAATTCTTGTTGGTCATGCTTTAAAGAATGATTTGGCTGTACTATTCTTATCGCATCCGTGGAAAAATTTAAGGGACACATCTAGATATAAACCTTTTAAACAAATTACAAAAGCAAATACTCCTAGTTTAAAAAGATTAGCATTGGAATTGCTAGGAATAGAAATACAAGTAGGTGAACACAATTCAGTTGAAGATGCAAGAGTGGCTATGCAATTGTATATGCAATATAAAGCTAAATGGGAATCTGAAATCTACTCAAAAAGATAAAATACATACTTACCGCTTTATACAAAGATGATTATTATCCTCCATTCGATTGTATGTTTAATATACATAATTCAAAATGTGCATTTATTTTTATCAAGAAATAATAACACAGATTCATAATGATACGTAAAAATGGTTCGGAAGATGCGATATCGTGTGTGTTTCTATATATTTTTTTATCGTAGAACACAATTTCAATCTATGGTTAAGACCATCCAGCCTTACTTTATTGTCAAAGTAAAAAAGATTTATTATATGTGAATAAACTAATACGAAATTAGCTCAATGTAATTATTGTTAAAACGTATTAATAAAATGCACACTTTTATTCTTTATATAAATATAAAAATATATATATATATATATATTATTATATATAGATTAGATGGAGAAGAAGCTATGTTGAAGCTTTGTGATTTTTTTATAAAAGTTGTAATACGAAATTCCAAGGGGTATTGCACTTTTTTTAAATGGTAGAAAGGAGAAATTTATAAAGAGCTCATATTTCAAATCAATAACACCACGAATGTAATATTAGACATATATGGAAGATCGAAGGTCAGAATTGCGATTACTACTGATTCTTGTATCAGAAATGTTCTACCGTTTTCTCTTTTATGGTAAACGCGTCGACCTCGTTATCAATATCAGTTTTTATACGATATACTCGTACGACGACTCTTAATAGATCGTCCTCCCATTCTGAGAGAACGTCTATATTCTGTCTTGGACTTTGATACGTGCATCAAGTGTTTCTCGAGTTTCGAACTTTATCTTTTTATACTTTTCATTATACTATAAACAATATCTTTTGTATATATACAAACATTTTGTATATATATATACACACATTCTTTGCTCTTTGGCGCTTTATTTTACTACTGGTAAGTAATGTACAAGTTAAGAAAAAGGTAAATATTTGCCTTTCATCTCTGCATCTACACACCCATATATATATATATATATATATATCCATCTACCTTTCACATTTCTAATCAGTTCTATGTTCGATATTCTATAGTGCAAGTGATCAATCGAGTGATTACCAACGATATAGCTATCTGTAATTAGTAACTCAATTTTAATTACTTAATTTTAATCTCAATTTATAAATAGGAAAGATCGTGATTAATGAAAGTTCAATATTTTCTTTGTAGTTATTGCAATATGTAGTATTACGATTTGAAATTCTTAAACAGTTAGACTCGTTCGAAAGATGAAATATGCAGTGATCGGTGCAGGAGCGGCAGGTTTAGCGGCTCTTCGACATTTCACTTCCGGTACTTACAAAGATGAAATCGTTTGCTACGAGAAAACGGAAGAAATCGGTGGCACTTGGGTTTATAGAGAAGAAACTGGTTTGGATCGGTACAATTTACCGATTCATACCAGCATGTACAAAAGTTTAAGGTAATATTTAAAACAATCATAAAGATTTGGCATTTTTATTGTAAATAAAAAAAAAAAATTATAAGATCGATATATCAACCTGATTGAAATTTTTATACAATTTAGGACGAATCTACCGAAAGAAGTGATGGGTTTTCCTGATTTTCCGATACCAGATCGACCAGAGAGTTACTTGACGCGCAATGAAATACTTCAGTTTCTTAATTCCTATTGCGATCATTTTAAATTGAGAGAATACATTCGCGTGAGTGTGGTGTGCATATAAAATTGATCCATCGATAACGCAGAAAAAGAAAAAACTTCAACGAGTATGATAAAGATATGAGATTTTTCAAATTACTTTTTTAGTTTCTTCATCACGTTGAATACGTAGAACCTATCTCGGAGGATCGTAAATGGTCAGTTAAGGTCAGAAATTTGAAGGAGAACGTTGTTAAAACTGAGACGTTCGATGCAATTATGATTTGCAATGGTCATTACTTCGAACCCTTTACTCCAAATTTAAAAGGTCAGGATGTTTTTCAAGGAGATCAACTGCATAGCCATGATTACAGAGTACCGGCCATTTTTAAAGACAAAACTGTCGTTGTCCTTGGTGCAGGTCCTTCCGGTAAAATACTATAAAACTTTTCTACGATGTAGTCAATCAGTATCTAATTATATTTTTTCAAAGGTATGGACTTAGCTCTTGAAATATCGACGAGTGCAAAACGTGTAATTTTAAGTCATCATTTAAAGGAGCCGATACTGACAAGATTTCCCGATAATGTGATTCAGGTAATTTCTAAATAATTTCTAAGACCTATCATACAGTGTGTTCAATTAAAAATTTTTCCATTAAATACTTTGTTCTTTTTTTAAACGTTAGAAATCCGACCTCGTAGAGTTAACCGAACACGATGCAGCTTTTTTAGACGGCAGTAAGGAAACGATCGACGTTATATTCTATTGTACAGGTAATCAATGTTAAACGTCAAATGAATAACTCCATTAATATCATTTCCACGTAAATCCATTATTATAGGATACAAATACAGTTTTCCTTTTCTTTCGGAAAAATGTGGTATTCGCGTGGATTCGAATATGGTAACGCCACTTTGGAAACATCTTGTGTCTATAGAAAATCCTACTCTCGCAATTGTCGGATTACCATTTTACGTTTGCGCCTTTAGTATGTTTGATCTGCAGGTATATGCCATTTTAATTAATTTCACGTACGTAAAGAAATTCCTTAATGAAAGATTAAAAATATATTTTTTTTCCGTTATAACTTTCGTACAATAAAAGATACGATTTCTTTTGCGGTTTTGGCATGGAGAAAAATCCTTTCCTGAGAAAGCAATGATGTTACGAGAAGAGTCGGAAGAATTGAAAAGACGTATTCGAAATGGATTGAGTAAAAGACATTTTCACATGATGGGTACAGAGCAAGGTGAATATTACGATGACTTGGCAAATACAGCTGAAATAACTCGACTGCTTCCGGTATTAGTGAAGTTGCATAACGAGAGTAGTAAACGTTTTTTGGATGATTTGGTGCATTATCGAGAAGATAGGTATAGGATTATTGACGATTATAACTATGTGCAACTCTGAAGATATAGTTTGTAGAAAAGAATAAAAATAAACGAAAAAAAAAAGAAAAAAGTAAACAAATAAGCAATGGTTTATATAGATATGAACTGTATGTTATAAACAATATGCTTTATTTGTGTAAAATGAAGACGAAAACATTATAAGTACTTATAACTATAGTAGAGTACCAATACATAAAAAATGTTTTGCCATATATTAATGCTTTTGATTTTGAACTCTGAAAGAGTTACAAGATATTGATAAATTCGTTTGATTAACAAGAAATCGCGTTAAATTTTATGCGGTAGTTTTCCCATTACCTATAAACAATTAAAATTAACAATTAATATTTAAACGCGTAAGTATGATACTATTTTGACGATTCGATATAAACTAACTATATTTGAGATAGCAACCAAAAAGCTCTGAAACAGCAGTGTTACGTATATACAATGACAAGAAACAAAGATAATATTAAATAATATCCTGCGCATTTGCGTTTAGTTGAGAATTCACAGCACGCGACAAATGTATCAAGTACATTTTTTACTTTTGAAATGACTTTTTTAAACGCGTATATCTTGGTTAAAACATAAGATTAAAACTATAAGAGGGATGTCTTTTATTAAATTAATAGAAAAAGATAATTGGTATGAGAAAAGCACTTTAAAGAATAATATGAAGACACGATAAAGAGAATAAAAGATAAGAGGCTGCCCGATTGCTTAAAAATTCTTCTGTATATTCATAGTAAATAATTTCAGTAAAAATCGAAATACCATACTGTCGCAATAGAACAAAGGAATTTGGCAACACTTGCGATTAGAATTTTTATTATTTTTATTTATCAAAATGTTCAGATTGGTGTTCAGCGTGTACGTGGATCTAATAATATTAATTGGAGAATGATAAATTCCAGGAATTTGTATGGAACTAAAAATCGCTTGCAAACGTAAAATAAGAATGTACGTCACCATACGATATTATCATATCAAAGAAATCAGTCCTATCGCGCTTGCTCGTTCTGTTATGTTTCCAAGAATATTCGTCTTTTTTGTTTTTTTTTTTTTTTTTTTTTTTTTTTTTTCTTTCTTTCTTTTTTATGTGCACTGTCTCGAATCTGTTACTGCAGTTTGTAGTATTAAACATATTCCTTTTCCACTGTTCAATACGTGTAAGGATAATGTCCTATCGTTTTAATACCGTTATCCACAATGAAACAGAGGAAAGGGAAATGAGTTTGAAACTGCTAGGAATCAGAGTGTTTCGATTATTATGTGCATTCAGTCGATATACTGAGCGAGCCAACGGAAGCCCTCGCCGTAACCTTGCTTTTTTAATACCGAACACATAAATAATTCCAATGGACGACCGGGTATATCATTACGTGCGATTTTGCCCTGAAAGTAAACAATTTGTTTTTATAACAATGTCGAAGTAAATAATACTTACGTTTATGCGTCAGAATAATAATAATTATACCTTGCCCGTTGTTTGACCATAAAGATTAAAGAAATTTCTAAGCTCATCTTCTGATGCTGCATTCGGTTTATCAATTTTATTACCCAAAACAAGAACTGGACAAGTACTGAGTTGCTCATCGCCCAACAATGCATCAAGCTCGGCTCTTGATTCTGCTAATCTAGATCTATCACTTGCGTCTACGAGAAATACTATGGCATCTACTGCTGGAAAATAATCTTTCCATACTCTGCGTGCTATAAAAATGTGACAATTTATTTGTTAATTATTTCTTTTGTTTAAACATTTTCAAATTAAAAAGGCACATACCTTGAGTGTGACCTCCTAAATCAAAAGTAGTGAACCTTATGTTACCGATAGACAGCTCTTCGGATGCTGAAAAATAATAAAAATTATTTACAAAAACCGCGTTTTAATTGTCATTAGGATGAAATTAATAATTGCAACATTAAATTACTTGGATGCAATGTAGGCACATGTTGAGCTAGGCGATCATCTTTCAGCATGTGTAACAATGTAGTTTTGCCTGCATTATCTAAACCAAGAAACAGAAGTTTGCCACTTTTCTTCCATAGCCCTGAAAATTTAATATACATCATATATGAAGCTATTGTCGCAAGGAAGGAATAACAATTTCAAATTATTATATATATTAAAATTCACCTACCAAGATAACTTAAAACTCCTGAGAACCAATCCCACAGAAACATATTTGTATACGAGAATTGGTGCTACTTACACTATGGTTTAAATAATGAATGACACTGCAACAAAGGAAGATAACAAGTCAATTCTTTGTGTACATAATCGACGTAGTATGACGCTAGATGACTTTTGAACGTGTTGCAACCTTGAATAAAGAAAGAGATTCGAGTCGATCAAGTATCGACGTGATCTCGTGTTAGAAAAATATTGCACCTCTTGAAACGAATTATTATAAAATGAAAGAAAAAAGATCAAGAAAATGTCTTTTAGTACAAAAGCTGAGATGAACGTTTACTATAGGATAGAGCAGATGCACGAAGCCACCGATAATACACAGCACACTCTTGATCTTTATCCCTTACACATCACTGTTTTATAACGAAACAACAAATTTATTGGAAAGTTGTTTGTACAACACTGATTTATGAAATCTATCAATTCGACGTACCCAATGTGAAAAAGTGTAAAGGGTGAACGTCGGAGACAGTGAAAAATGCTTTTCCTCTTGCTAAAAGTGCAGCTCGATCAAGCCTAGTTGGCTGGCAGTTGGCACTGGTGACGTCTACTTCCGGTGGCCATCTTTATTCAAATATAATGCCGTCTCATAAGCGCGATTCTTAAGGTCAATTATTCTAATTTTATTATTCCTTTATCGAGTCTTAATTTAGTAATATACTATATTTTCATTGTTATATTTATATGCCCTTACATTTGTATCCAGATTTCTCTAAAGTTTCATTTAATTGCTTAAACAATATCGCATTTATTTAAATGTACAACTATTTAAATGGACAACGTACATATATCAATATATATGTATAACGATTTAAAATTTAAAAATCTTATTACGTATAGACTTCAAATACAAAGATCATTCGTCGATGATATAAACAATAACAAGTGTGTGTAGCTCGGACGACTTTGTCAGCTGCCAAATCAGTCATCTGTTGAAATCAGACGACTAAACGTCGTAGCTCTCTTACTCCGCCCTCGTCCAGATAATTATTGAATTCTTTCCATTGTTTTACAATTATTTATATAAGTACTGCATATTGCATTATTTTCATTCGATTAACAATTAACGTTTACAATTGAAATATTATCTCAATCGTGATAAATAATTAAGTTAATTGAATTAATGATTAACAAATAAAAAAATCGTTTATCTTATTCTCATTAAGATCGTTCATCGCTTCTCGTTTTATTAATGACTTATAATTTTAGCTAATTTATGACATAAAAATGAAGCTTTTTAAAAAATTCGAAAAAATTCCATGTACTATCTATTTCTACTACATATACAAATCTCTATCACACACTCGATAATTATACGTGAGAGAAATATAATCTACACAAATTAATACACATTGATGCAATGGAAGGATGTTTCTTTATTGCGTTTAAAATTTAATTGAAAGGATAAGCGAGATAAGAATGTAATTCTACAAAGTAGTTCGTTAATGATTTCCGTCGTCGAGTCTTTACGAAGTAATTGTCATTGATTTTAACTTTGAAATTTCGTTAACAGATAGCGCTTTGATCGCCGAGAATTAGTCACGTGATCGTTCTCATCATTCTTAATCGAAGGAATAGAAAATGGCGATTATGTTTGTAGGTAAGGTTTTAATATATGATGGAATAAATAGTTTACATTAATTAAAATAATTAATTTATGAATGAGAAGAAGTATGTATTTCTCATATCGTTTAATTATATTTACGTATTATTAATATTTAGTGACAATATAGTATATTATTGTGAATTACAATATGTGATCTTAATCAGAAGTACGTACAAGAGATGAATAATAAAATAAAACTTTTAACAAAATTGCAAAAAGTCATGACGTCTATGTTATTCCAACATGTTCTTTATAATTTTACATAATTATTTAATGTATGTTATATGCAGGAAGATTGTTGAATAATCTTTGCACAACAACCAAATGCAACATAGGAGTTACCAACCAATTCATTATACAAACACGTGATTATGCTGCAAGGAAAGGTACAAGAGCAAGAAGAGAAGCTAAGAAAATTAAACGGAAAGTAGAAAAAATTGAAAAACTTGGATTTATGGAACGAAAACTGAGAGAAAGACAAATGTAACTTTTTCCTTACTAACATATTTCACTTTTATCGATATTCTCGCATAAAATTGATATGACATATGAAACTTTTGATAACGCTTTCCAGGCAATCAAATAAACCGATACTCAAGAAAGCTGTGGATTATGATAAATATAAATCAATTTCAAAAGATAATGTATGGATATTACGTTATCATCGATGTAAAATATATACTGTAGAAGATGCAGTGCAGAGTTATCGTGAAGCACATCATCCCACTATGTTAAATTGTCCCAATTCTCAAGTCGATGTGAAAATTGAATTGAATTTAGAGGTAAACAATGAAAAGTTATAACTCATAGACTAACATTAGATATACTTTTATTAATTTCATTAATTATATCTAAGTATGTGTTTTAGACTGAGAAAAAGGGAAAGTTTATTAGTGCTTTTAATCGAATTGTAAATTATCCTCATTATTTTGATCATGGAGAAATCAGAAATATAATGGTCTTTTCTTCAAAAGCACAAGTAATAGAACAAGTTTTGAAAGCAGGTGCTACCTTGGCTGGTGGGAGGGACCTTATAAAGTCCATTAAGGCAATGATATTAATTATAAAATTTTAGTTTTATTTATTGTTTCACACATTAATTCTTTCTCATTTAGGCAGGTGATCTGTCTTTAAACGATTATCAATATTGTCTAGCAGAACCGGATATTTTAGCCGAATTAATATTGATTAGAGGCTTATTGAAAAAGAAATTCCCAACATCCAAAACAGGTTTTCCATATTAATTTTTGTCGTAATTGATGTCGTAAGAAACATTAGATTTCTTATAAGATTCTCTGAGATAAAATCTTTTTTATATCCTTATCCAGGTACTTTGAGTCCCGATCTTGAAAGTTTAGTAAAGAAATTTGTTTTGGGTGTTAAGTATGATGCCATACCCGATAAACTGGAAAAACATTACGGCTTAATCAAGTGTCCTATAGGAACGGTAAACGTGTAGCGCAATAATTACGTGGATAATGTATAATCTTTCTCTAAAATAATTTCATTTGTTTTAGCTTAATATGGATAGTAAGCATTTGGAAGAAAACTTTGCTGCCCTTATTAATGATGTCAATTCCGTTAAATCTAAAAAACATACCAATTTTATCATAAGGTATCTTGACATTGAAAAAAATAATTTTATTGCAAAATTTATAACAAACCGACATAGGGATAATAAGTATGGATTTATTTCGTATGTTAGAACACAGTTACTCAGTCCACCATCAAAGGAATATTTTGTAGTAGATTTTACTAAATATCTACCAGAAACAATCTCTAAAAAGGATCCGAATCAGGAGGAGGAAGATGAAGAAGACATCTCGTATGCCGTCATACCATCTCAATAGTTATAGAATATAAGTATAAATTTTAAAAAAGAAAAACTTGTTATTAATTCGTACGAAAAGTCCGAAAGAGGATCATACTTTAGAGGCATATAGCTGTTCCTTTCAATGCGTATCAAAATATGGGGTCATGAGAAAGAAAAAAAAAATCATTCCTACATGATTTTCCTTAGATCCTAAAAATATATATTTTTTTTTTCTTTTTTTTTTTTTTTTTCACATTTATCAGAATAAGAGAAACGAAGAGTATAAGATTGAAAAGAATGGGAAAATCGGGGAGATACGTCATAGCGGAAGCGAGGAGATTGCGAGGGGCGCTGGTGCATCGCGAATGGTATACGTCAGACGCGCGAAAATGACGACGGGTTGGCGCGGGAAGGGGAAGTTCGCGCGAGAAACCGGCGGCGGCGAGTCGAAGGAAAAGGGAACGGAGAACGGTGCGCCCGCTGGTGGAGGTGACGGCGAGAGGAGGGAGGGGGAGCCAACTCGGCTACCTGCCGATCGAGAGAGCTCAGTCGGTGTCCGCCAGGTTGAAAATCCGCCGCTTCTCCCTGCTCCTTTACTATCGCACGTGATACTTTCTAACGCCTTAATAATTCTTACCGAGAAGTTAGGGAAAAAACATATAGTTTGTAGTTAGTTAGTTGTTAGTTGGACCTGAAAGATCCAAAATTGGCGCGCATAAGAGTATCGAAGAGGGTGCGAAAGACGAAAGTTTGTACGGACGAGATACGTTTCTCTCCTAGTGTGTCTGTTTTTTTTTTCTTTTTTTGTGTGCGTGCATGTCGCCTGTGTGTGTACGTGTGTTGTTTGCGCGTTCCTCACGAACGTTATCGAAAAGGATATAACGCGCTCATAACGCGCTCATAACGTGGAACGGATTTATTTTTTTCATTTTGTTCTCTTTTTTTTTTTTTTTTCTTTTTTTTTTTCTCCTCTTTATATTACTATCCTTAAAGAACAGTTTACGCGAACCGTGTGTTTCGTCCTTTTGTTTTCTCTCAAGCAGTGCGCGCGAGTGGACTCACGCAGGCGCGTTCATAATAAGCGCGCACGCGTTCACCATACATTCGACTTGTGTTTACGTTATTGTTACGTGTTCCTGGTGATATTCTTCATTTTCCGCGACGAAACGAAGACGAGGACAAAGACGACGAGGAGCTAACTTTGAATTACTTTTCTTTCGATTAGAACGAACGACAGGAGACATGCTCGATTTATTCAACAACGGTAGACAGTAGCCTTCGACGATACAGGACGTAAAAAAATACTCGACATGGTAAGCATGAGAAATTAAAGCCCATGTATTTATCCTTAGCTCATAAATTTCAAGATTTAAATTTCTTCTTAGGTAAAACGGACGAACGTGCAAAGTGCGTCGTACGTTTCCCCTTGCGGAACATTACTAGTCGCGGTTTATTTCGGTTCCAAGTCGGAGAGAGGTCGAATTTAAATCGACGAAATTTTAGCGAACGACGCGACGCGCATGAGGGAACCTGAGAGTCCCTCAGAATGAATAAAATAATATTAAGAAGAGAAAGGAGAGAGAGAGAGAGAGAGAGAGAGAAGTTAACGTGTAGGTTTCTCTCTGTCTATAGGTGGACTCTATATTTAGATACACTAGGTCGACACACGAGCACAAATATCGGATGTTCATGAGCAAGGAACACGTCGAATAGGCTCTCGGCGCTCCCCTATGAGAATTCTCGCGGCATATCGCTTCCCTCCTGGCGCTATCTTTGCTTTCAATTTGCTCTTTCCGTGCCATTACTCCCACTCGAAACGTTACAATCTAATGTAGAATTTAATGCGTTCCATTCGTCCTGACGTTACTCGCATTTTCTTTCGATGAGAAAATAAAGGAGAAAAAAAAACAAGATCATTCATCTACTATATTTTGACGAGTTAATGAAGATTCGTTTATTCGAGATATTACGAATATGACTTGTGAGGATAAGATAGTAATCCATAGGATAATACGAAATAGGATAACGTCAAGTGAAAGGTTTTAATCGTTTTACAGTAGCAACAACTTTATTAAGACAATGTTATCTTAGGTTTTACGTAAAACCTAAGAGATACTTTTCTTTCTTACTATCTCTTTATGCGGAGAAGTCACGAAACGATTCGGTCATGCGTGTAGACCGGCGACCGATAAAAGTCGAGTTCTGCTTCGACTTTAGAACGGGTGAAGGCAAACGATAGCTCGAGGGCCAATGTGCCTCGGCACGACTGTCCTGTCGTTTCCTTTTCTCTTTCCCTCCCTCTCTCTCTCTTTCTCTCTCTCTCTCTCTCTCCCTCTCTCTTTCGCTGGCTTTCTTATATGCCGATCGGGAACTCTAATTGCGATCGCAACAAGCGAACGAAGGGAGAAAGATTCGAATCCGCTATAGTTTTAGAACGGCTTGAAATTTGCCAGGAGGCTATATAAGATCGTAAAAAAAGATTTCCGAGAATAATTTCCATACGTCTCGCTATTAAGTTTCTCTCAGTGATCTCGAATTTCGACTCGTCCGAGATTCGCGTAATCTGATCGTAGAATCGCCGTTTGAAAATTAACCATTGGAAAATCTCGATGTGGACGGATGAGAAAGATAGTTAAAGAATAGGTAAGGACAAGGGAAAGGACAAAGTTTCTTGTTCGGCTCTTTAGAAAATAAGAGACCGGTTCGTGTCTCATCTAGTTGGTTAACGAAGCCACATCGTATCTATGTAGTACGTACGAGAGTTTTACGATAGTCATTGCCGATGCAAAAGGGCGGCGTAGCTGGTCTCTCGCATCAATGGCCGCTCGTTAATCGGTTGGTTTACTGGCCGATGATCGAGTACCTAATTAACTATACATTCGCGATATGCTTTCGTCGTTTTTCGCGTTCGACCCTACGGCACGACACGAAGCGGACAATTATATCGTTAAATACCTAGATAACGCGCTCTAGCAAGGCATAACGTTTGTCTACCTTCTAAGTCTTAAGATATTCGCCAGACTTCGAGTATATCTCATGTATAATAGTTGGCTTACCTACCTATCAACCTTCCTATCAACCTACCTACTGTCCTGAGGTGGCGAACGCACGACGATAATTACTAGCGCGAGCCGATGCTTGATCGTCTGTCAATGTAACTATTAGTCATAAACTATAAGCCCCGCTTGGGTTCATAATAGAAACGAGAACACGTGACTAAATCAACGTAAAGAAGATCCTGAATCTTCTTTGACGATCTTAAAGGAGTATTAGCTTGTTAACAACGGATTACAAACGATAGAAAATTTCGATACTTTTCTCGATAAGACGCTTTTTATAGATAGTTTGCAAAATTGAACTTTCGGATCCTTAATTCTCGTTGTTTTCCTTTCTCGAAACAAGCATCTTTTCTTTTAATTTCGTTAATATAGATTTATTGTGGCACCGCGACGTCGCAAAACGTGCCCTTATATTTTTCAATTTCGTGCTCGAGAACAAAGTTGAGAAATTTCTACTCGTCGACTCTTTTATCACTGTTCGTTCTTTTTTTTTTTTTTTTTTTTTTTTTTTTTGCACGATACGCGAAAGTTACAAACCCGTGGATTCTTCTTGAAAATGAGTAAACGTTGTAAAGTTGTACGACGATAAAAAAAAAAAAAAAAAAAAGAAGAAAAAAAAAAAAGAAAACAAAGAAGAAGAAAAAAAGAATTGTAAGGTTGAACCGTTATTTTCTTCTTTCTTTTTCTTCTTTTTTTCCTTTTTTTCTACCACGTTGTCGACATTAATCGCTTGTCCACTCTCATCCTCGAACGAGTCGGATTCTTTTTCTTTGCGCTTATTTCTTTGAATAAGTACTTGCGCAACGGTAAATACCGATATTTTTCTACAGCGTCATCGTTATGCAAGACGCCAGTTTGTTTCCTCGAGTCGCACGCGTGAATCGCGGCGAACGTAAGCAAGCGGTGGTTCTTCTCAACTCGAGGGAATCTGTAATTGCAGACTTTGTTCGGGGCTCGCGTTCCTGACAAGTGATTCCAAGACACGTGAGGAACGAACTCGACCTGGATAGACTAACATTTAAAAAATGTGTTCTCGAAACAGCTAAAAGGCCTTATATACTTTTCTACTCGTCATCGAAATTTTCGGAATCGTTTCGATCGCTGGAATCGCGATCTTTCATCTTGACGTAAACCGATGAGTCCGTCGATGAGTCTGTCTGTTTTAATTTCTCTTTTGAAAGATCGCAACGACGTATTAAATCAAGAAATGTCCATGAGTGAGAGAGAAAATATATTTCGATGGTTACTTGAATGATTAGAAAATCTTTGCTCTTTATTATTTCATCTTGATAGAAGGAGGAAGAAAATGCGTTGGTTAATTAGACGTAGGAAGACGATATAACTTACGCACTTGCACCGCCAAAGGGTCTAATTATTTCCAATGGCATGTAATATAACAATGATTCATACGCGCGTATATTTATACATCTAATCTATAATAGGCATGTAATACAAGTAACATATTTTGACGAGTGAACGTAGATATTAAAGACTCCGTCTTCGGAGTAAAGTAAAAGACCGGCATAATACGGACGAATATGTACAGTTAGACGAATCGTCGTCGTCTTGTAGTCGATGAAGAGGAGTCCGGAGAATGAGCGCGCGCGTGTCTCTGAGAGAAGAAGAGAGGAATGGAAGGAGGACGGAAAGGAGGCCACAGGCGACCCGACCGTCACCGTTATATCGGCGCCCACGGCGAAGTACTCGAACTCGGCTCGATTTACGACTAGTTTCCTGCAACTTGGTACGTTGTATGCGATTCGACGTTACGTTTGACCTCTGCCATCCACCTGTTCAGGTTAGGCCAGTCGAGCTGCTCCTGCACGCCACAGACGTTCGAATGAATTGGATCGAGTTTTAAAAGTTTGCCCTTTAACAGAGAAAAAAATGAAACTCCTTGGGGAGATGTAATCGAAACGACAGAGACTTATCCGTAGACGTACGCCTAGATGGAAAGGTATCGATTATCACTCCAAGATATCCAACTTGACGTCTTAATCTCCATGAGATACGAACACTTTTATTTTCATCGTACGACGATCTACTTAAAGGCATTGATCGGAGATTGAAGTACGAGTAAGTAACGCATAAGACCGGAAAAACTTGTTCAACTTTCTCGTGCCCTCCGGTTCTACACGCTTAACTCGTGGTTTGCTTTCTAGCTCCGTTGTGCGCTTCCTTACAGGAAGAGAAGTCTGCCGAGGACACGGCATACGTACTAGGAGTCGTGTTCAAAGCCACGTTTCCGCGATTACACGCTCGATCCACCTCCGAGCCCTTTTCCTTGAGTTTAGCGATAGTAATTTGTATTCATAAGAAATATCGACGACCGGACTCGACTACCAATTCTACGTAATAGTAGATAGGTACACGTATTTGCAAGGATCTCGCTTGGAAATATGTAAATTGCTAATCTTTTTGCGTTTTGTCAGTCGGATTACAATGGAGCTCTCGGATCTCGGTCTTGGATTCCCGACGGGGGCTCGACTCGAGAAAATTTCTTTTCGCGTTAGCACGAAGAACGTGAGGACGCTGAGGATTCGACTCTTTCGGCTCGTCCACAATGGATGGATCATTTTTCCGAGATCCCTTTAAGATCATTCTTTTCTTACGTCTCTTCTACGTATATTGAGTTACATTTAGATTAGTTAATTTTTCAATCGACTTCTCGAACAGATGGACAATGATAAATGGTTAATATAAAAAATTTCTATTTCCAGCTTCGGTAACATCGATCATATACCACGGTACGTTAAATCTTTAAACCCGATCTTCGTTTACGAACGTATTGTAAATCGTTCGAGTTATATCTACGCTGTTCTTGCATCATGTTGAAATATATCATTTTACGGGCAGATTACATAAAGGTAAAGGATGCTCCGCGTTTGTCGACACGTACCAAGATCAACGTATTCCTTCTAACAGCATCTTCGATAGAATTCATAGGGGTATCTCGGTGGAAGACAGTCAGCGATCTAATCCTTTTGAAGTCGAAGGCGAACTCGTTGCCAAGATGATTAAAGTCTGAGCACGACGCGTGGCTCAGAGAGTCGTTGATCATTGTCACGAATTCAAGGTTGAAAAATGATTGAGATTATTTCTAGAGCATGCATATTTTTTCTTTTTTCTCTTCTTATAAGTAAGTGACCGTCTATGGTGACCGTCTACGATCGAAGAAAAACAACAATCTTTGCTTCCTGGAGTAACAAGGTTATATAGGAAATTACCGTTAACGGCGTGTCCAGCTGTAACGTTGACATTGAACACGCGTAGCCCTTCGACGATCATTAATATCAGCTAACGAGACCCCCAGAAAGAAGGTGGAGCGTTCTCGGAAGCCACCGATCCGTGACTCATGTTTTAACGTAAACCGTTAGAACGAACTCACTCTCTTTCAGGTGGATCTCGTGCTTGTAAATCTAGATCTGTTCGAATGACGGATGGATCGTAAGCCATTTGATGGGATTAGATCGTAACTCTTTAGAATGGAATGGCAGCCAGCTTCTCGTCGAACTATTGCATTCGATTTATTATATAACAAAGTATCGATCGAACGAGCAGAATGATCGAAATTTATGATTCTCGTTCGGTAAGGATCGTTTAATGCTTCTCAAAATTTTCTTCTTACATATACCACATATATCCATAGAAATGCTCTATACGAGTATTACGTTTAAACGCATCTAGATGTAGAATATATATTTTATCGTTTCATTGTGATCAGACGAAATATATCCATATTTGGCAAATACCCATTGGAATGGAAGAAAAATCGAACGAAACTTTTATTCCTCGCTTTAGAATGCATCATGTATATGTACGTATACATAAAGATTGGTTGGTTACTGACCGTGCCCACTGAGGAGGAGCAAGTCTTGGAGCAGGTAGCGCCAGGTGCAGGACACGAAGAAGGATCAGAAGGAAAGAAGGAAGGAAGGAAGGAAGGATGGAAGGAAGGAAGGAAGGAAGGAAGGAAGGAGGAAGAAGAAGAAGAAGAAGAATCGGAGGGTATAAGTCGCTCTGACGCTCAAGCGTGAAGCGAACAACTCGCGAACACGAAATTCCCACAGTCGAAAGAGCGTGGGTAGTAGGTCGTTTTTCTCTTTTTAATCTGCCACCAGCCAACGAGACATCCCAATTTTTTTCACTCTTTTATTTTCTCTATCTCTCATTACGTACACATACTTGCCATTCAATACTCGGAGGAATATCATACGTACGAATCACGTACTCTCTTTTAAAGTCGAGCATAAGCGTGCCTGGTTCAGGTGTAGCTTCCTGCACTTAAGGTCCAAGAGATGTATATCTTCTCCTCTATAATCCGACCTCGGCTTCGTATTTCCTACCACGGTCACCCAGATGCTCAACCATCGTGTGTACGTAAGCCATAGAAAAAAATTACTATCCGCATCGTGTGTCTTGGGACTATCAAATTACTATTATTACGTAAAATAAGAAAGCTCCTTTCTCTTTCTTTCTTTCTTTCTTTCTTTCGACGACGGAGCCATTAAAATAACAATCCTTCGCTTATCTCCCCGGGAAGATCGTTCATTTTACTTTGAGCTTACGAGTATATCTGGGATTCGTGTTTTTCGAAAATATTTTTGCAATAAATTTCATCTTTTACATATTTTTCTGTTCGACCGCATACTCGCTATTATTTTCTTAGACATCTTTTGTATCTTGCACTCTGGTATAATACGAGAGGATCGTTTGGGTGTGGCAAAACGTATGCTAGAGACCAGCTCGAGAATACTAAACGCGATTCGAATGACAGTCGTAGTAGGTACGACATGTTACGCCAAGTAATAAAGACCATTCTAGGATCTAAAGGTAAATTAAAAAATACGTTCTTTGATTTATTCATCACTTTACGTTGAGATCTTTTATCGTGACGCTTCTTTAAATATATTCTTTTTACTTTGTTTCCCTCTCTTTATCTCTCTCTCTCTTTCTCTCTCTCTCTCTCTCTCTCTCTCTCTCTCTCTCTCTTTTTTCGCGTGTCAAATCCAGCTGTCTCCTCAATTCGTCTTGGTATAAATTACGGTGGCGTGATCGTTTAAAAGATCTCGAAATTATTCCGTTCGTGTTACTAACGAGATAATCTTTTTCGACATTCGCGATCTTTCACGTAAACTTCGCGACAAGAAACACGCGTGGAACTCATTTACCTAGCTTTATTATAGCCTTCCTGAAGTTCCCTGTGGAAGCCTAAATTGATTTGCGGTTACAAGCCGTTACGGTCTTAACGAAGCCTCGCCGTCTTCTCATTAACGTTAATAAGACCCTACGAATCGGTCAAATGTGAAGCATATTTTTCTTGCTTCCTTGGTACATTTTTATGATCATGAAAAATCGATTGCTTCAAAGATTCTTTTGTCTGACTCGAAAAACATAGACTACAAATATCGTCCCGTATAGGTTTTCTCTGTTTGATCGTCACTATTTATTCCAGACACGATGATGTCAGCGATGCTCGTTGAATGTGAAATTCTTTTTTATAGTATCGTTAGCTCGCGTGCAAATGTCTATGAGCAGTTTTCGAAACGAGCACGTAATATCGATACGTTAAACATCAAGAATTGATCCATTTCAATCGAAGAACGATCGAAGACGAAGACTTAAGAGATGAAATTAGAAAACGTTGAATGTTGAATGAAATGGATATCTTCGTAACGGACATTGGGATTTAATCTTTTTTTCTTTTTTTTTTTTTTTTTTTAATTTTACTTTTATCCGTGGCAGCTGTAGTGATGTTAGTGACGATATATACATAGTATGAGAAGTAACACTTTTCTCAGGACCCCGTTCTGTTCGCGTGCACACACGTCTACCGTGAATTACTACGTCGGCTCGAGTGCGAGTCTCTTCTTCCTTCAAGATTAAGATACGAAACGTTCAGAGTTTCAGGATAATGGGACGCTGCCCCTGGCAAACAACGTCGACTCCTCCTCCTCCTCTTCCTCTCTCTCTCTCTCTCTCTCTCTCTCTTCCTTTTTCCTCTTTCCTCTTTTATCACGGAGACAAACGAACTGTTTATACGTCCAATATGATCCTTTTTAGATATTACCTAGATCCCCGTTAATAATATTTAACAATACTTTCCTATTCGCGACGAAACGTTTACGCGGACAAACATATTTGCTTGTATATTTCTTCGTTGTTGCATCTGCCGGTAATATTAAAATTTTGCGCGTCTGAACGATGCCATTATTTCTTAGTTCGAGTGCCACGCGGATGTATACCATTGTACTGGGAAATAAAAGAGAATGGATGGTACCGAGATTACACGATAGGCAGTATCACGAACGGCCAAGGTATATCGTTGTTTATGAGGGAAGTGAAAAGGGAGACTTTGCTTTGTAACTCGACGACTTACTCGATTCTCTTATACGTTTCAATGTCTTCAAAGATACTCGCTGAATAATTCTATTGCATAATGAATCATCAAGAGAGATAACACAAAATCGTTGAAAAGCACAATCCCAAATATGTCTGGTTACAATTGATATTAAAAAAAATAGTCGAGAAGTAAAAGTATAGTCGAGAGAGCCCACGCAATCGACTCTTCTTAATTAACCGACGTATAATAAGTTTCCCCATACTGCTAACGCAAGATGCGACGTGGCAGTCGGCAATTACTCGTACTAACATCCTACAGTCATAGGCGATAATACGTCTACACGTACGAGTAACGGGACGTGTGTTGCATGGATTATTTATCGTCTTTATTAACTTGCGTTCGTTTCGATTCGTCGAGAATAGAGAGAGAGAGAGAGAAAGAGAATAAAATTCAAAAATACATCTGCCATAGATCGTCTTCATTTTTGCATTTCAAAATGATAAATCAATACTCGATTTGCATTCTCGAGGTGGCAACGATTCGACGATTGCCAGATAAAGCTATCTATCGGTAGCGTAGAGAAGATCCGATCTCGAGAAGGATTGCCTGACTAATTTCTATATGAATCACGGCTTACCTCGGGGAAAGTGCAATTATTCGAGTGCATCCAAGTCTTCGGCCATTGATTTTTGCGTCCGACGGTACAATAATTATTCTCGCTTTCGATGCCAGGAAGATAAGAGACGGTAACTGGAAATCAGCTTGCTTTGCTTGGCTCCCTCGTCAGCAGAATGTTTTCGGGCTATCCCTACGAGAGATAAAATACGACGCGACAAAGCGAGAACGTTCTCTTCGAGGGATTATTACGTCGGACATTTTGATGTTTCCTGATTTATACATTTTCTTAAATTTTTTTTCTTCTTTTTCTTTTTTCTTTTTTCTTTTTTTTTTTTTTTTTTTTTTTTTTTTTTAGGAACGATCAAACGCAAAATCCGACAATCCGAGATCTATCAAAGTATTTAATGTTGTAATAGGCCCTGATCACGGTCAGATAGAATCTCTAATTCAACGCTACGGCTAATCGGACATGCAAATGGAGCGTTCGTGGAGCTCGTGTGAAATTAATTGCGCGTGACGCGCTTCGTTGCTCAGCTCGTCCTTTCTCTCCATCTCTTTTTCTCGTTTTATCGCACCCTTTCTCTCTCTCTCTCTCTTTCTCTCTCTTTCTCTCTATCGACACGTAGACGTTAGGTGCACGAGTATCGACGTTTGGTGCACGCGATGTTCCAACGAAATGCTTCCCTCTTAGACATTTTTTATGACAATGATCGAGATTAGCATGGTTATCTCAAGAGGATATTTTTCTTTGTCGAATAAACACCGGAAAAAGTTGCTCGCAAATAAGATCACGATGAGTTTAATTAGCTTCGAAATGAATTTGAATTTCAATAGGTGTACCGCTATGTATTCAACGGCACGACGTTGGAATATTAATTAGTACTTCTCACGATTATCCACAGAGAGAAAGATTTCAATGTAAAATCGAGCCAAAGTTGTTCTTCAATTCTATCGAATGATTTATATACTTTTTTGTTTCCCTTTCTGTGATTCCTTTTTTCTTTTTTTCTTTTTTTTTTTTTATACATCGAACGACCCAATGCCGACATACAAGACTCGAGTAAAAGTAACTTTCCGATGACTATCTCCGAAAGGTCGGAGGATACTTATCCCAAAAAATGAAAAGACATTACGAAAGAGACGACGAGTCCGGAGAAAGTCTCTGTCCCGTCGAGGGACTCGATGTCAGACGAGCGAAAGCCATACGTTAATTAATATTTCTCTGTTCTTTCCTGACGAGGAAGTCGTCGTATGACATATTTGTAAAAAAAAAAGGGAAAAAAAACAAAAAAAAAAAAAGAAAGGAAGAATAGAAAACAGACATTCTAGATTTTTCGATAAATGGCGTTCAATCTTGCAACGTGTACTAGCCATTACCGAGTTCATACGAAAAGCGTGGGTGTTTATTTTCCAGAGTATTCATACGACCCACACGCTTTCATAAGCGTGTCTATTTCTTTGCTTATCTCCATACATTATAAGTAAAACAAGCCAATCATCCGTTACTTAACGTCGTATATAATTAATACAGATTATTGTGCATCACTATCGAAGGCGTTCGCTCGTTAATCTTTCACATGGAAATGTCAACGTTCGGAAATGAGAAATCTCTTTTATTACGATAACGATAGACACCGTCGTTCGATGGCGAACACGAGTAGCTAATTAGAAAGCTATGTTAATGATAACTTTGTAAGTTTGCACTTCGTTCCTCGTACGCATTCACCTCGGGCAGTATTAATAGGATTTACATTATTGGCACACCCTCGACGTCTTGTAACTTGTCCCTAACGCATGGACCTTGCTAACCAGCCGATCGAATCGTGATCGGTAATTGCTTTAGCGAATTTCAATCGTTTGGATTATTATTCGAACATTCTCGTTCGAATGTTAAAAGGAAAAGAATTTTATTTTCATTAAGTTTATAAAGATGATAAAATCATTATCAATGCGAATCGATTTAAAGAGGAGATTATTTTAATAATTTTATAAGCAAACGTATCTAACCAGATAAAGTCGGTCAATAGAGAGAGCCTTTGTCCTCAGGTAGTAAAAAATAAATCGTAATGTCACCTCGACGTGTTTTTACGATTTCTCGATGTCGTATCAGAAACGTTGCAGCTAATCCGTACATCAGAGTAGGGATACCTGAATCGAACGAGAAGAATGACAACCGGTAAGAAAATAAACGATAAGAGAAGAGAAGAGAAGAGAAGAGAAGAGAGGAGAAGGGAAAAGGGAAGAGGGAAGGGCTGAGGAGGAGGAACTGGTTCGCAAGAAACTGGAAAAGCTTCTAAACTGCTTCTAGGCTGTTCCTTCGAGTATATTTTCCCTTTGGAATCATGCACGGGTATGTCAAACGCGATATAGGGTGCATGCGTATATATATATATAGATAGATAGATAGATATATATATATATATATATGTACTGTAAGTACAAGTTCTGCTTACCAAGGTTAAGTATCTTGATCGCCTTGAAGAATTTGTCGTCGGTACTAAGGTCCTGCCTTGGTCGTCTTGTACAGTGATACTTGATGTAAGGAAAACAGCCTGTCCTTAATACGTGATAATTGCTATTAGCTACTGACCAATTGAAGTGGGACATGCCCCTCTGATCGTTGACAACGTCGGCGTATTTGACAAAGTACGAGGTCCATGGTGGTTCCTTCGTTTGAAGAAGATAATTCGTTAGTACCTAAAAAGTTGATAGAAAATGTAACAGATTTTTGTTTCTCCTTCGTCGTTACGTAACATCATGGTAAAGATGAATTCGTTCACTGGTAAGAAATACTATCGTTTGCTCCGTTACGTTAGTCATTTCTTTTTCACACCTTGGCAACGTTATTCTCGTTGGCACGATGCTTGGTCGAGCATAACGGAGCGTAAGAGAAAGAGAGATCTACTCGTTCAGGAGGGTATTGTCCTCAAAACTATCTTTTCTATGAGATTCCAGGTTGAAGAATGCGCGAAAGAAAAATACGATCCAGTTACGGATCCGTGTTGTAGCATTCGATTATTCGCGTCAATAATAATAGTTGATTATCCGATGCCTATGTACGATATTCCAAATGACTATAGATAAAGGATTCGTACCTCAGAGGCGAGTGGTTTGTCCCTTTGAAAAAATATTTTCCTTCGGTTATATTCCGTCGTCTTAGGAAGAAGAAACGCCTTTAGGACGTTTCTTGGCCTTTTGGCTATCATTCCTTTGGAAGATCCTTTTAAGGAATCAGGTATTTCAAGGAAATATGCATCCTCCTGCGTTTCTCGCTCAGTTTTATCGGCTCACGACTGAAAATTTCGAAAACAGCACGATCGTATTTCCATAAGGTAATGGTATTTCCACGCTTCTCTTAACGGACTTCACCATGGCCGAGATAAGAGATACATGCACCTGCAATCTGGTTCACTAGCCCCCGTACGCGTACTATGCATTACCCTACTAGGCTTTAATTTTGTCGGATATATTTCATACAAAATTCTCGACGATCCCAACAAGTTTCTTCTTTCATTCGAATAAAATAGTTAGCCTTTTGAAAATAAACGTGATAAAAGAGAGAGGGAGATTGTGCCTTCTAGAAATGTCAAGGTTAGCGAGAAGTCGATGCGATCGCGAAAGTCGAAGTAACGCGAAGGATAAAACTTGACGAGGCGTCACGACCTCGAAAGCACGATTAATATTTCGATTTAATATGCGCTTTCGAAATTGTATCTGCAAATGAAGTCCGAGTAAATCGAATTTGTAAAAGCCCGCCTATTTTCTAGGGACTTTGAGCATGATCACGCAAGCGCATGCTCCATCTACGTTAGGCTAGCAGGCGCATCGATATATTGAGTCGGACACGCGCAGAAGATCCGAAACGAATGATGCTAGCGACGTAAACGAGAACGATACAACATGGACCTACCTCGTAAGAATGTATTCTCCTTTCTGCTTATCGGAGTGTAGACATTGCTAGGGTATTTCGAACGGACTTTAGACCTCAATAGATGCGAAGAAACTCGTCGAAGCTTACGATCGTGCGCCGTCTGATCGTGCACGTGAGACACGATGATAGGAAAACCGTACGAACGATTACGAACAGTTACGAACGGTTCAGCCGTTTCGTTCGGTCGCGCTACGAGCAAGGCGGGCTCCTTCAAAATTTCCTATCTAGAGCAAGAACTTCGATAATATCGTTTAATTTTTCATTTGTTTTTTAATTTTTTCTTAAAGCATTATTAAATCATCATTCATATGGTTTTCCCTTTATCTTTCCTGTCGTTATTTTTTCAATCGATATCACAGATTGATACGCGCATCCTACGTGACAAATATTTCTCGTTTTGTTTCAGGTAAGTTCTTTAGGCGATGCCGTGACTGGAACCAACCCGTGGATCTTTTAGATCTCATCTGGAACGTTAGCTACCACGCCCAAGGATCGTTTGCAAAGTTGCCTGTATTTTCTCCACTGGTTTTCCATCAGCGATATCTTATAAATATCGTTAGTTGGATCGGTGAAGATAGGTCCGCGTAATCGCGGTTGCCTTATACTCATTCACTTTCTTGCTTTAGCACGTACGGGCATTAAAGAATTTCTCTTTACCATCCCACGTCTTTTCTCTCTTTCATAAGCACGTAAAGAAGCATTCACGTCAAATTGGATTACATTGATGTGCTAATCCGACGCAGGGAGAGCAGGGAAACGCTTATCTCTCAGCGGGTACGCACGAGCGCGTATGAGATACAACTCAACGAACGCATATGGATACACTTGGAAAGGCAATCGAAGGGAACGTCATAAAATCAGAACCTTTTTACTAAGAAGATTCATTAGCCGAGAGCGAGGGTACGATATCCATGGACACAACGCGTTCTTGTAGAAAGGGAGAGAATATACAGGCAAAGGGTTATTTATTTTGATCCGAGTCTACGATTTCCGCGAGATAAATGATGTAACGGCCATCCACCTCGCCGTTCGGACCTGCTCGTTCCTTCATTATGCACGAAGCACATTGCGGTATATAATACATACGTAAACGCTTATACGTTTCTATGTACAATGTGTCTTATATAGAAAGATATTTTACGTATGTGGGTACACACGCTGATACGTACGAACGTACGGTAACATAATCACAAGGAATTTTAAATCACAAGTAAGTTCGAACGTTTAACGGGATTTCGTGGATCCACTAGAGGCGTTACGAAGATCGAATAGTTAATTTATTGATTCCAACGAAGTTGTACTTACATTTGTTGTTGCGCGTGAAAAATGTTCTAATTCTCTCGTACGAATCCATTCTATCTTTTTTCTTTTCTCCTTTTTTTCCCTTTCGTTCAGGCATGAGACTGTCGAACGACTAAAAAGTGAGATTGTTCTAATCCCGTATCCTTTACTTAGCGTAAACGTGTTGTTTTCGATTGAAAGTAAGTCTAAATAATAGGACACCAAGCGTGTTTTGTAAAGGAGAAAGGTATCAGCCCGACGTGAAAACATCAATTTTCTTGCTAACGTAAAATTACGTCTGACAACTCCCGTTGCGAGTTTCTCTCTCTCTCTCTCTCTCTCTTTTCTTGGTTACATATTACAGCGATAAAGAAGTCTTATGAATCACACATCAAATTCCACTTTCTCGATTGAGAACGAAATCGAAACGATTTATTTTTTGTCGACACAGCTTCCAGGTCCGTCGAGAGTATTGGGATTTTAATAAGATAAATTAATTTCACTCATCGTTGATACGAAAATGAAGAGAAATTTTTTTGAAATTGATTTTACACGTCGAACGTAATATACATATATATATATATATATATATACACTTGAAATACGTCTTTATTATCATTGGCAGAGCGGGACGCTGGAAATATCGTGCGTCTACGTAATGAAACTTTTTTAAAGCCTGAGGGGAAGTAGCTTTTGTTGCTCATTTCATTGTACCGCAAGGATCGACTTTGCCGACGCGGTTGGTGGTTAGAGAAGAGACGAGAAAACCGTAGGCAGATTTCGTTTCTCTTCTGCGGATCCTCTTCCTTCTCTTCTTCTTCTTCTTCTTCTTCTTCTTTAATTTCTTACTTTTTCTTCTCGGTTCTGTTATTTTCTTTTAACATCGCGTCTCGTTCTTACTTGGCCGCAGAAACGAACCAGGATGCCCGGTTTGCGTATCGTTTCTTGGGATACACCATTGTCGAGTCACTCGAGCGAATCTTCTGTCTCTTTTTTCTTGGTACCGTCAAGTCTTCCAGCTAGAATGGTATCCTCTTACGTCGACACCGCAAATTTTTATCACATCATTTTCATTTATAAACTGAACATGAATATTACTTTAGGAAGTTCTCATAGAACTTTGTGGATATAAAAAGATTAGACAAAATTTTTATTTGTTATTTTTTGTTTTTTTTTCTTTGTTTTTTTTTTGTACGAGGAAAAATGGAATCGCGTTATGAACGATGGCCTCGTTTCTTCGGAAACAATAATTTCACGGTCGGTCTTTTCGATCGTTTGATTCTCGCCAATGGAAAAGCTATTAAGAATTGATATCGAAAGATAGTTCCAGGCGAGGTGAGATAGGATCTCGATCGCGTTCTCTCGCTGGTATATAAGAGAAAAGAGGAAAGGTTCGTAGTTCGTAGCTATGTGTAGTAGGCATGCTGCGAGTAGAGTTTACTCCTGTTTGCACGACTAATACGTATTGTTCGCGTTGTTTGTCCTGAATTATCGGCGTGTTATCGAACAGCACCGATCCTCCGACAGATAGGAATGCTTAAACCTCTTCTGAAAATACGCTCTTACCTTCCACGCTCGTTATCCTCGGCTATGGTTGCCTTTTGATCGCGCAAATTACCGATACAGTAAGCTCGGAACTCCGAGCTAGATGAGGATAATTACTCTGATTTAAGCGGAACGTAATCGAAGAATGGCAAACTGCAACGGCATCTTTCTGCACCTGCGAATGCAGACGATCCTTCTTGACGTCATATCCAACCGTTAATCTTCTTTCTTTTTCTTTTCTCTTTTTTTCTTTCTTTCTATATTTTTTCTTTTCTTTTTTTTTTGCAGACGTTCGTCGCACGAATCTCGACTGTTTTCTTTTCGTATCGCGTTTCTTTGACGAAGATCACGCAATCTCCGTAATTCTATTTCACTCGGTGTCGCGTGTGTAAGTATTCATGTTGTCGTGTCAATCGAATTTGCATTATCTCGAGATGGACCGAAAACTGTTGGTCGGCTTTGTGCGATGGCTCGGGTGTAAAGCTCGAATCGGCACTGTGGTCTCATTGTGTCGGCTTTCATCACGATTTAAATGCAAACCGCGAATCCAGGTCAGAGGAGTAATTTCGCGAGAATTACAAGGGACAATGCAATTCTCTTTGTAGATATAGATTAAGAATCGAGGAGCAATGCATTCAGGTCTATCGACTTGGACTTTCGATTTGCTAACATTGCCTCTTTGTACCAGAGCGATCAGAACGCTAGTTTATCAACTGGCGTAATAACTATCTGACTCTTTCTCTCTCTCTCTCTCTCTCTCTCTCTCTTTCTCTCTCTTTGAAATTATTCCAAGACGTTCGTGATCTCGACATTTACGAAGGAACAAGTTTCCAGGATTTCGCGTGTTGGCAAGTCCTATGAGATAGGCGATAGTTCTTCTTTCTTAAATTATGTTCTCCATGCCGAGTGGCAGACTCTCGAGGCACGCCGCGTGCGTGGAAGACACCTTGTAAAGGGCGATCAGTAAGACGAAGAAGAAGAAGAAGAAGAAGAAGAAGAGGAAGAAAAAGGAAGAGAACAGGGTAGATTTCTCATTAGCAGAACGCGCATAGAGCGAATCCGGTTTCCGTACTAAGAGTATCTACTAGAGGAAGATGTGCGCGCGCACGAGTTCTCTGGTAGAAGGGATCGAGAGGTACCACTCTATCGATAGATCCGCACGTTTACTTTAGCTAGCTTGGTAGCAGGTACCTACCATTGTCATTAGCGAGCTAGCAAGGTAGACGTTCCGGTGTCTAACGATTGGTGAGAATCATAGATCTATCGTTTCGTTGTACCTCATGTATTTCTCTTAAAGAAAAAAAAAAAGTTTATTAGACTACTTTCTTATTTCTTTTTCTAAATCGTACGAGCGTATAATTGTTGGATCGTTATGGAGCTTCCTAGTAATACAAGATTTTCTTTTCTTTTTATGACTCACGATCGGGATGCTGTAAACGCCAGCGAAGAAATTCAATAAATGCGTTAAATAAAATCATTAAAGTGGTGAACATCAATGATCTCTGTGGCGATAGTTAACGTATCGAGGAACGATTAACGATATCGTGTGATATATTTTTCTCATGTCGTATTCTCTCGAGTGAAAGTTTTTCAAACTGTACATGTCCAATTCGTAGAATAGAACGAAAAGAAGCTCACTTATCGGATATATCTAACTGATGTGTGACACGTAATTAGCCCGAAATGGTATCGTGAGAGATGAAAGAACGTTTATAGGTCAGCCAACTTGGCTTTTCGTAAGTTATCTCTTTGAACGATCGCTAACGTTAATTAAACGAAATTACATATTTCCGTGGGGTTAACCAGAGCGAAATGTATTTGCGAAAAAAAAAAAAAAGAAAAAGGAAAAAAGAGTAGACTGAGAATTTATTAAAACGAATCAATATGGTTTAAACGTTTAAGAGGACTTTTAAAAAAGGAAAACAAATTTTTGATGTATCGATTTGCGCCTGAACGCAAATGGCCGCTATAAAAGTTGATTATAAAAATTAATAAAAAGAAAAAAGAAGAGAAAAAAAAGATAGAGAATAATCCGCATATTATTCCATTTGCCCCCATGTAGTTCGATAATTCGTTGCTTCTCCCTTGGCCTTCCTATCGAGGAAAGAAAGTGAAAGGATATGAGAACATTTGCTCCGGACCAATCGGCCAGACATTATCCGTGGATAATTCGAAGCCTCGCCCTCGCTCTCAAGAGAGAGAGAGAGAGAGAGAGAGAGAGAGAGAGAGAGAGAGAGAGAGAGAGAGAGAGAGAGAAGAGAAAGATATAGAAGGAAAGAAGATATTAACCGAATGGATCGATAGAAATTATCGTGAATTTTGTTCTTTTCT